AATCGCTTGAGGGTGTTTGTTCAGTTGTTTGCATGCAAGTGAAAGATGAAAGTGAGGAAGTTACTTTCATTTAACAATTAATGTGTTTGTTTTCATGTAAGTGGTTATGAAAGTGAGATGTAAGAAAGTTGCCACATAAGATTTAATGTAATTTTGACTTCCCCTAAAAAAGTGGTGAAGTCACATGAAAGTGACAAAAAGGTAACTAATTTAATTAAATAATTTTAATTATATTTTCTAATTAATCTTATTTTGCCACATCATCTTCACATTGCACTTTCGATAATAATTTAATTTTTCAAAGAAACATTGTATTTCACTTGCGTGCTGACATGGATGTAAAAGTCATTTGCAAAAAAAAGTAACTTACATATTTTAAATTCACTTTCAGATTGCCAAGCACCTCTAAAGTGTAGGAGACTAGAGGTGGAATGTGATTCGATGGTTGTTATTAAGACAATGTGAGAGGAGATATTAGAGTCTTCTCCTGATCGAGGCCTCTTATGTGAGATAAAATAGCTGATACATCGTGGGTGGGAGGTTAAGTTTTATCATATTTGGCGCGAAAGCAATCGTAATGCAGATTTGTTGGCTAGAGAATCTCTTAGTCCAGAACTAGGTCTTAGAAGACTATACATAACTCTGTATTTCCTTAAGCCGATATTAATTAGTGAGTTGATGGGGCTTTTGTAACCCATGTTTATAACCTTTAATTTTTTTCCTGTAGCACTTTGGCCCTCTTGATATACTCAAAAAGAAAAAAAAAAACATATGGATATATTAACAAACGGACTTGACCTAAGAATAGAGATAACATAAGTCATTTCAATGAATAATTAAAACAAGAGAAAAGAAATGCCAAAGAATCTTTACTTATTGGCAATATATGTAACATTTGGATAACGGTAATCATAATCACATAACAAAAAATCAAAGATACACTTATGGAGTGACTATAATATTAAATAAACATCAAATAACTTCAGTGGAGATTATGATATCCCATCAAATCAAACATTTTAAACCTCATAAACTAGTCTAGGGATTCAAACGTGAGTCCTTTTAAGTTTAAACAGTACGTATCATATAGCAAATAAATTTATTAATAATCAAATTTAAGTTGAAGAGTATGAAAGTTCGTCACCATCTAATGATAGAAAATTTATTTTTGAAAACCAAGATATCATTAAGCATCTAATAATTTCTAATAGTAAAGTAACTGTTTAATTTAGAAAAAAAGGTAAATACGATCTTGTGTTAATAAAATGGATGTATATAGGTTCAAATGGCAACATATCAATTTGATAATTGTCGTGCATTTTACACATAGTTTTGACTGTGAATAGATTGTATAATTAGTGTATGGATTAGTGCCATAAATAGATACTTAATGTGGAGGATCAAGTTATGCATAAATAGAGGTGCAATTGTACGACACATGATCTAAGAAAATAGAAAAAAAGATCTCTTCAAGTTCATCACTCACTTCTCTTGTCCCTCAATTACAGTATGTTCTTTTCTTTAATCTATTTTGATAACATCTTGTCATTGATAATCATCATTTATATATAATCATAATAAACAAAGCTAACTAATTCATGGGAAAAAAATTACATTTCTACCACCACCCTCTATTTCTTAAATTTATCCAAATAATCTGAGTATTTTATTCATTTGAAACTTGTTTGATAAATATTTCGTACAAATTACACATTTTTATTAAACTATTTGTGTCATATTTTAATTTTTTTGAATCAAAAGAAATTTAAATTTATCCGAATTTCAGAATCCAAATTTGAAGCCAAACAACCTCTAGCTCTTCGTTTGGTAAACTCTTTGAAACAGACTACACTTGATCTTTATCTAATTTTGAATTAAATTGGTTCTGTTTTGATCAAGGAGATAGGTGGATCAAAAGAGAATATGTTTAAGATTATCTGTTTTAGCCTAATAAAAGTGAACTTGGATCGTCACTACCAAAAAGATGGTGGAGAGACCATTGTGTTGTTAATGAACCTTGATTTCCTAGTAAGCGATTATGATTTATTCTAAATCTTACACTCTTCATATCTTCATGATTTGCGCTCATTTTTAATTTCCATTCAAAAAACAAAATCATAGCTATCCACTAAAAAAACCAACGGTGATTAATATTGTAAGGACCCGCTACTGTTTTTTTATAGTGAAGAAGATCTGAACCAAAGAAAACTAGATTATAAATGATCCAATATTTTCCAAACAGAATTCTTCCTTAAAAAAGGTCCAGCATCAATCTTAATTTGTGAAACCGCGTGAAAAGGCCCACCCGAATATATATTGAAGCTATAAATATAGCTTCTTCGTGCCCTAGGTGGTGTGCAAGAAAAATAAAAGGTCAGCTGTTTTTCCCCCTCCTTTGGCACCGTGCAAGGCAGAGAGTTCGTGTAAGCAGGTGGAGAAAAATTACATCGACTTTTGTTAGGGTTTTGAGCATCCATTGGTGGAGATATTTGTGAGAGATTTGAGAGTGTGTGTGAGGGTTATTTGTGAGATCTTGTGTGATTGTAAACCCTATTTGTATTCTCTTTCTCTAGTAGTAGATCTCCCCCTCCTTGCCCCGTGGACGTAGGTAATTTGCCGAACCACGTAAAATTAGTTTATCTCGCTATTTGAGTTATTTGTAATAGCTTATTTAGGTTTCCTCGACAAGTCAGTCCTAGAACTGATGAGAGGAAGAGCTGATATCCCACTTTGTTGAGATATTTTGCTTAAGGTTCTAGTTTCCTTGGTGAAACAAGAATCCCTATTGCGACCTGACTCTCTTGTTGTGCTGCCGAAATTTTCGCTGCGCGCAACATAATTTTCCCTTGGGGAGTTAGGAGGTTGTCAAACAGGTCTTTAGCTTTAATTTTGTACCACTCCGTCCCTACTCCAAACGTGAGCATAACTCCCTCTACCCGCTTTTTTCCCTTCAAATTCAACAAGAATCCAACCACAACAAGATCTCGGCCCCACCTAACAATCTCCCAACACTTTCAATTATGATTCCAAAGGAAATTAAATTTCTCAACTAAACGTTACTACAAAAGCTTTTCAACTTTCGAACCAAAGTTGGTTGTCTAATCCCAATCCGATCCCACCTATTCCTCGTCTTATTACTTTGAGGCTTTAACGTTGGGATAACGACGTCACAACAAAGGCAACTTCTCGTTATGGCTATTTACTCTTTTACCCTTCGTCGAAGGAGAGGGTTATCTAGAGTGCGAGGGGTATTATGGTAAAAGGATTTTTTCTGGGGTCTGACATACGCAAACGTGATCGGTGCAACCGCTGAAAGTCTGAAAAGCCCAGAAGCTACTCTACCGCTTAACGGTACGTTGCTTCTCGTGCTGGTGAGTATTGTTAACCGGTGTTTTGTTGATATGTATACTCTCCATTTTTTGAGGTACACTGCCTTTGAGACTTCAAAAGTTTGCATTGATTTTGATTTTGAAGTATACAGTGATACAGTATGGAAGGACATGTGGTAATAATAAACTCTCACGCACCCACTTAATTTTGATTGGACCCTCTTAAGTCTTAACCCTAGAATTTGGGGAAGAAAGTACGCTATCTATAAACGGCAAACTGAAAATTTTGATATTTTTCTCTCAATAATATTTTAGTTATTTACAAATTACATGTACGACATCCAGTTAGAAAATGTGAAAGTTCTGGTAGGTTTTGCGAGGCACCTCAAAGATCAGAGAGAGTTATATGAGATAAATAAAATTGAAGAAGGTTATGTGGGAAATCGTCCCAACGTTCTAGGAGGTAATGTGAAATTAACCCTTTAGAAATCTAGATTAGACTTGAATAGGGTTTGTAGAGTTAAAGCTCATCCCATTTGCTAGGAGTTTTTGTTCTTTATGATTTAGCGATGATATATTTTTGGATTTTTGAAAATCCTAAGAAAATTGTAAAGTCTGAAAGATAGTTGATGTAAGAGTATACCATCTCTGAGCAAATATTTTGATAAATTTTGATGTCCATTAGAATCAATTAAAACTTTAAATTATACACCAATGAAACTTTGATGCGTCCAAATACCTATTCTTTCCTAAAATATCTTTAGAATCAATTAGAATTTCAAACTAATTGGAAACGATCAGGGTAATTATCCTAAATCTCAACTAACTGTCAAATGACGTATTTAGGTTTATCTCTAACTATCAAGTAGGAACTTTAGGTAAACCATCCATTTCCTTTTATACGTAAATGAGGGTTGCATGTCAATTTTTTTTTAAAAGTTCTCTCTAATTTACAAGTAAAAAATTAAAATTCTCATAACAAAGTAAAAAAATCTAAAATAGTTAAGATATATGAAATTAGAAAAAGAAAAGAAAACATTAGATTGTTCATTTTCAATACGTTAAGCCAGCTTATAAGCAAATTAGCTTTCGTCGTTTTCGAAAATATTTTATCAAACTTTTATTACTGTGTGATGAAGTAAAATCAACTCATCCCCAATTCTGCAAAGATCATGCCAAACAAATAAACTCCTATACTAAAAATTCCTGGCACATAGAAAGATTTCGATTACGTGTACATTGTATCTTTTAAATATACATATACGCAAATAAATTAAGAAGATGAACTTAAGGAGAGACAAGTTAAAAAGTTTATCTTCTCAAAGACTCAGAGGGGAGTAGACCACAGAATATAACAGAGTGTAAATATCAGTCAGATCAAATTTTAACTTCTCTGAGCGTACGCACTCGGTGGACTCTTTTTCCAAAAAAAAGACCACACGCCAAACACCACAAACCACAGCGAACTCCTTACACGTCCTCGATTCTACACGGGTCCCACTTTAACCAAAGTACGTGCTCTTTTATATAAGCTGCCGAATTCATGTTTGCTATGCGACAAAAATCTGCTGATCGTATAAAAAAGTGCCAGTAACCGCAAAGCTTGCCTAGTTTTCATCTCACCAAACTCTTCCCTCCTCCTCCTTATAAATATTCTCCGCTTAATTTTTTTTCCTCATTTTTTTTCATCGAAAATAAATAGATTTTTTGGAAGCGATCGATCGAAGTCGAAGCCTCTGTCCAAATTCTCGGTTCCCGTAATTCTAGGGTTTGTCGCCATTTCTTGTTCCTCTCTCCAAATCAAAAAATTGTTTTTTTTTCCCGAAAACAAATTTTCGCGTGATCTTCGAGATATTCTATTGTAGAGCTTGTGAATCATCGATCTCTGTGCTTGGACTGTGATTTTATTTGATTTTAAGGGTTTTGTACTGGAATTTGAAGATTTGCTGGCGATTGACTGGTGTGTTTTGGTGCAGATTTGCTGGCGATTGAGATGGAGCTGCTTGAGATCCAACCTCGAGAACTCAAGTTCACTTGTGAGTAGATCTTGAGAAGTTGAAATTGATTTTTTGATCTGTTTTCGGTGTTGATCTTTTGTGTGATAAGGTGAAATTTTACTCATTTTCATAAAATGTCGCCGCTGAGAGAATTGCTGAAGATTGAAATTCACTTGGATGATGTTAACTTGATTTAGTAACCATTTGAAGGGAGTCATGCTACGAAATTAAGTAATTGCCATGGAAGAAAAAAAATGCAAAATGAAGGTTGAACTGGCCGATAAATAAGATAAAACATATACGGATTATGTGGATTAAGAATTTTATGTTGTGTAGACCAACTTGAAATGGTCTGATACACCTCCCTCAAATTAGGTTCACCATCCTTTTAACAGAATAGTTCTACATCGTAATATATATTTTTTATTTTATAATGGGATGTTTGCGACTAATACTTATATGGGTCTAATGGAGTTTGGATTTACTTCTCCTTTTGTTATAGTTGAGTTAAAAAAGCAAAGCTCGTGTACGGTGCATCTTGTCAATAAGTCCAACGAATATGTGGCGTTCAAGGTATGTAACCTTTCTTCTTTACACACGTTGCGTTTTGAATAATAAAGTTATAAATATGGCTCCAAAAAAGTCACTTGTGCTCTCAGTTTTAGATCTCTCAGGGACGCACAATATGTCAATACCCCAGATCCTTTGATGTTAGTTTTCTGAGGGATATGTATTATGTGAACTAACACCTATATATATATATTCAATTTTTTGCTATTTTTAATTGTCCATCCCTTATCTATCCTCTTTCACGGGATGCCGCTTCTATGTGGAATATTAGTCCTTTATTAGATTTTTCTATAATCCTGCAATTCTGGCTCCTAAACTGCAACCTTTTGTTATTATGGAGATCTAGAATATGATAGCGCAGCTGAGTCAAACTTTCTTGTTGCTAGGTGAAAACGACATCTCCAAAAAGATATTGTGTGCGACCAAACACTGGCATCGTTTTACCGAGGTCAACATGTGATTTTACGGGTACATTCTTATTAACGCATATCTCTTTCTAATTTGGAAATCCAGATATTTGCTATGATTTTTGTTATTCTTGTAATTTATTAGGATGAAGGGTATGTTGTCTATGTTAGTATAGGAGACCATGTTAAAGAAGTGTTATCAAATTACTTCTGCTTTACTGGTTCCTCTAATTTCTTTTTTGTTCATTCTAACTTGTAATCAAATGAACTGCTGCCTACCTGCTCCTGACTAATCCTTTTCATGCTTGAACCCTCAAACTTATACAAATTGGTAAAAAATTTTATGGAAACCCCCATTTATAAGCCTTCAAGCCTGGCGCAGCTCTGACAAGTTATAATGCAGTAAAGGGAAATAGACATAGGAAAGTGGAGATCATCCTTACCCCTGAATATTTTCATGCTTAGTCCTTAAACTTATACAAATTGGTAATGTTGTTAATGGAAACACCCTTTTATAAGCCTTCAAGCCTGGCATAGCTCTGGCAAGTTATAATGATACATATTTATCCTTGTTGTATAAGTTTCATCCATGAATGCCCTAGGTTAGGTTATATCGTACTTATCCACTCTATCACCATCAATTTTGTACTGCAGGATAATAAACAACTAGGTGATATTTGCAGCAGCTGTTGTATACACTATACAAATCAGGCCTTGTTGCCTCTTCAACATGATTTGTCTTGTATCATGATTATGTTTTCTGTTGAGCATGAAAATTTAAGTTTACCCTGAATGTCCTGAGCCTTAAACTTTGCTTTGCTTTGCTTAATGCCTCTTATGTCTTAATTGTAAACTTTCCAGTTACTATGCAAGCTTCAAGGACCGCACCACCAGATATGCAATTGAAAGATAAGTTCCTTATTCAAAGTACAATTGCTCCATATGGGAGTGCAGATGAGGACATTGTACCTAGCATGGTAAGCAAATTAAAGTTAACTGAGCTGTTTTTTCCCCGCCATGGGTCCTAACCTTTTTCATTTGACAGTTCTCAAAAGAAAATGGCAGATATATCGACGAAAGCAAGCTGAGGGTTGTTCTTGTTAGTCCACCTCATTCTCCAGCGTTGCAACCAATTAATGGTGCATTGAAGCAGGAACCGGTTAATGAAGCTCCTCTTGTCAAAGAAGCTCCTATCATGAAAGAAGCTCCTTGTCTCAAAGAAGCTCCTATCATGAAAGAAGCTCCTTTCGTCAAAGAAAGTCCTATCATGAAAGAAACTCCTGTTGCGAAAGAAACTCTTGTTCGAAAAGATTACACACCATTAAATGAAGTCCACGATCTTCCCATATCTCATGTAAGAGTGACATTCCATGTGTGGAATGGTACATCGTATTCTGTATCTTAGGACCATATTTTTTTGTGCCTTATGGCTTTTGTGTGTCATTGTTTTCTTACCATGAGACCATTAACTTACTGAAGCCTTGAGACCCCTCATCTAGATTGTGCTATTCATCTGGTGTGGATTTATTGGCATCTGATTTTGTTTTACGTGTTGAATATAATTGTAACTGCCTCTTGCTTTTAGTATTCCTCTTTAGATACAGACACTGAAGCACATATTCTACTTCTGTCCAGGTAAAGGATTTTGAGGATTTAAAAGTGAAGGTCATCAATCTTGAATCAAAGCTAAATGAGGTTAGCCATTTCTGCACTTTCTCACCTAATGTACGGCCTGAGCTTCCTTTCATATTACAGGGTGTTTCTAATAATTGATGATGTTTTGTGATTAAGGGGATCATCTATGACAGTTTTCAACTTAGTTGCTGTGTTGTGTTTTAGTGCGTTTGTTTTCAGCGCATTCGTTTTCTCCAAATTCATTCAAGGCGGAGTTAAAATATATTTATATATGTAAAAGAAGAAACTTTTTGCAGGCTGATAAGACCATCGTCATACTGAGGGAAGAAAAGAGCTTTGCTATTCAAGAGAGAGATAAACTGCAACAGGAAGTGGTGAGTGATTGATTACTGAGCTTGTACTGTTTGATGTTTGTTATAACCCTCAACTCTCACCACACCTTTGGAGTTTTGCTATAGTGGCAGGGACATTAAGATGGTATCAGAACAAGTCTAGTTTTGAATTTTGCTGGCCATGAATTTCTAAGTGAATTAAAAAAAAATTGACACTGCTGCATGAGTGTCGGCATCTTCTCATGAAAGGGCCTTCAACCTACATGGGTCCAATGTTAGAATATAAACTTATAACCTTAACTCTCACCACAACTTTGGAGTTTTGGTGCAAGGGCAGGGACCTTAAGAGTACCAAGTAGTTCGAGTTCAAGTAACTAACCGAGCAATCTATCGAACGTACAGTTTTAGCTCGTTTCTTTCTTATCAATACCTAGTATTCTTTATGTAATATAATGTGAAAGTATCCTAGAGGGGGGGGGGGGGGAATATGGTATATGCTAATCTAATCCGATTTAATGCCAATTAAAAACTTATTAACTAATTATCCTAGCAAGAATGATATTCAAGAAGATTATATGCAAGGATATTAATCTAAGGGTGAAATAAACATGAGCACTGACGAAATAAATAATGAGCACAAATGAAACGTCAAAGCAAACTCAAACATACAATATGATCACGAAGCTCGGTCCTTCCGACCTACGTCTCCGCTCTTCACTCACGGGGAGAATTTCATTATCACAATGGGTTTTCGACGTTCACCCAAAAACGTTTACACCTCATAATTCGATTTTCTACGCTCACCGACAAACGTTTACAACTCACACTTGTAACTACACAAATACCATTTTAAGTGTTGACCTCTCACGTGTTTCCTTCCTCAAGTGTTCGGAATTACCACCTCTTCCTAGGTTTTACTACCGACCCCACTCTTTTTGGAACCGACCACGTCTCTCACCTCTACACTCCTCTTGGTATATTTGTGTAATACAAAATGATTCTCACAATAAGGCATAAATACAAATAATTTGTTCTCTATAATGGATGAGAACTTAATGTAAGCTCACTCTCAAAGATACACTCACCACAACCCAAAATACACTCAATGTGATAATACTAAAAGCTTAATGGTTGTGTGTGTAAACAATAAAAAAATAACAAAATCAAATGTAAACTCAATATAAATCTAGCTTGATGAAAATGATAATCAACAAACAATAAATACAAAGCTAGAATTGAGTTTTGAAAAACTTCTCTAAGACAAGAGAGAGATGATGTTGAAGCCCAAAATCAATGAGATGATCTTCTCCCCTTGTGAAACTTTCTTCACAAAACAAAGCACACTTGAAAACTTCTTTAAAACCTTTAAACAAATTGCCCAAAACTTGTTTTTAACTTTCTTAAGTGTGTATTGAAGTATGAGGGTATGGGGTATATATAGGCTCAAGAAACAAACCCCAAAAACCAAGAAAAACCAAGGAAAAAGACAAAAAAACCCCAAAATTCAGCATTCTGAAAAACTAGTCGTTACAATGTTATAAGTCGACTTGCTACAGTAATAAGTCAACTTATAACTAGCCCTTACAGGCTAAAAAGGTCATATAAGTCGACTTACACTGTTCATAAGTCGACTTATTATATATAAGTCGACTTATAAGTCGACTTAGCAGACAGTTACAGTTTTTGGCAGAGTCGGGAAATTTGCGTAGCTGGTTTTGTAAAATTAATTAAAAATAGTAAATCAACTCCAAAAAACATGAAAATTTGAGAGGAGTTTCTAGACATGTAGATGAACATGTTGGAGAAAGAATTTCTAAAATATCACTTCTCATTTGTGAGAAATAAATGTTTTAATACAGATATTCCAGATTTTGAAAGCTGTTGAAACATTCGATCTTATAAAATCAATTTGACATAACAAATTAACTCCAAAATTAATAAAACTTTGGGAAATATTTATAAAGATGAAAACAAACATGTTAAAGAAGGAATTTTTGATATATCAGTTTGTATTTGTGAAAACTTACTATTTTGCAAAATGGTTAAGATACATGTATATATAAAATTCTTGATCTTTGACTTTTGAGTTAAACAATGTTTTGAAACCTTATGAAATGATTTCATAGACTTAATAAAAGATGTATATAATGATTGTTAAGTCCATAAACCAATAACTCAATATTTTGTCAAAATTACTCAAAAACAAGAATTGTGTGTGATATTGAGCTCAAAGTATCAACACACAAGTATAAACCTAAACTAATTATACCAAGCTATAGATCTTCGATGTAGCTCAGCTTGGTTGCGGATGAAGCTTGAACTTGAATCTTTGACTTGAATTGTATTGCTTCATACCACTATATCTGTCAACCTCCATTTGATATGATCGTTATGGCGTAATTTTATCCAACCTTCAACTAGGATATTTGTGTAGATTATCTAACAAAACAAATGCAAGCACTTGACGCACAATGTTAGGAATTGTTTGTAATCATCAAAACAAGATTTGAGAGGAGGCTCATAACCATGAGGCTAACATAGTGGACTACACTGTGAATGCTATATCATTACTTGAATTCTGACTTCAACACGTTTCAGTGGTAACACTATTCACCTTCCTCATCTGAGGACCAAATTTAAACATGTTCATCTTGGTGTCATCTCCCTTGATGTTGATTCCTATACCATATATAATCATATGCAATATAATAGCCCACCCTCTTGGGATATGCTATCCGAAATGAACCTTTTTAGGAAATAAGGGCCTTAGCCCATTTTATTGACGGGGGCACAAATAAAAGCCCATTTTATTGACGGGGGCACAAATAAAAGGATGAAAATATAGTTGAAATCCATTGTGGCATTGGATGTGGAGAACACTCATTATTACAAGAGTGGATGGGTATTGTTGTACACTTACACTATTATGAGACTACCAGGTTTCAACATTCCAGGTTAATTTATGAAATCCTACTTACCCGAAATGAACCTTAATTTACGAAAGCTCATACTTCAGCTTAATACTATTTGCTTTGTGATTTCAGTCTGACTGTAAAAATTTCGGCCTTTTGATTTCAGGCTCTTTTGAGAAGAAGATGTGCTGCAAAGGTTCAGGTTGGCTTCCCCTTCTTGTTTGTAGTTTTCATGGCACTTGTTGGTGCATCACTTGGATACTTGCTACGCCAATGAGAAAGGAAAATTCATCGTCCCGATGCAGCGGGGAGATCATGGAGAGTTTATAACCAAATTTAAGCAAGTAGTTGATACGAGGAAGTACATAGAAACAGACCATATCGGGTTTTTACTGTGTGTATTATGATAGCATCATACTAGAATACGGCACTCTCATGTAAAGGATCATACTTTCCCCCCCTTCTTGTGTATAGCCTACAGAGGAGCTATTCAAGGTTTTCCTCCATCACCCTGGACTTGGGACTTTTTGATCTTCTGGGAGAGACCTTTTTGAGATATCAATGTGTGTTTAATTTTTGCATTTTTTGTTTTTCTAGTCGATGTTTGAAGTGAAGTTGCTTTAAAATCCAAGAGCCCTATATACTCATGCACTGGTTTGATACTATGGGCATACGTCAAGTATTTCAGTATTTTTGTCAGTCTTTTGGTTTTACGGGAATATGTATGGATCTTATCAGAGCAAACAGGGAGTGGATGGCTATTGGACTCCGAATAGCCCACTGGGCTTTAGCACGGAATCGCTATTGTTTTCTTCCTCGCGTGCAGGCCCAGAGTTAAGCGCGTGCAGGCCTGGAGTTCAATATTAGACACATAAATGTGGTTCAAGGCGTAAATAAGGGTTGCATTGAAAGCTCAGGGCTAGTTCTACTTTTGTAAGGACTAGTATAAGGCACGCGCGTTGCGTCTATTTGGTGTGGGCCCCACTGACACAGTAGGGCCCACCCTCCTGTCTGTGTACGTGTTGGCTCGCGCGTTAAAGCGCGAGCCAAACAGCTTTTTCGTTTGAACATTACATATAATAGTATGTAGGTGCTGATTGTTCGTTATTTTTTTAATATTAAAATGGTCACCTCGTACACTAAATAATTCTACATTTTAGTTAAAACTATGCAGAGTAGAAGCAAACACCCTCATATACAACTACAAACACTAATCTGCTCACTACATCTGCTAGTTATATGTCATCCCCTTATTCTACTATCATTATTCACTTGAATACTGAGAAAAGCCACATTACTTTAATATGACTTTTGAGATCAATAGTCTTAGGAATTTAGGATAGTTTGAATCCTGTAGAGACTATAAAATAAGTTTATTTAAAATCCTTACATGAAATGACTAAAAGTATCAAAGTGTCTGCAGCTTGTGGAGTTAATTGAGAGTAAAATGAATACATTGAAGAAATAATATAAAATGATGAGCAAAACAATGATTCTTTTTCCGAGACATCGAACTTGAAATAACCCTCATTAACTTTAAAATTGCCATTTGATCCCTAGATTTTTTGGCGTGCTGCACCCTATATATATCTGCAAGTTTTTACATTAATGATAAAAATAATAGACACTTATAGTGTTATAAAAAGAAATTTGATACAATCTTGTGGTCTTAATTGTTAGACATTATGGAGAAAAATAATCGATACCAACTTCAAGATATGTATAATTACAACAAGTAGAATTTAACGATCAGTTTAAAGAAACATGATCCTATAGCATCACCATCTAAATAAAAAACCTAACAAAATAAGTCTCTGTTCCTAATAAATAGAAATAACAATTCTAATAAAATAGCTTAAAATTTAAGTAGTCACATCATTTCATCATACCTTAATCTCGATTGTTTGACAATGAGAATGTTGTAACCGGAAATGACTTTCAAGTGTTAAGTAATCAAATAGTAAAACCCATATTTATATAGGTTGCAAGTAAAAGCTATTCGTATTCCTAACTATAACCCAAAGAACTAGGACAAAAGGTAGGCTCTTGGTTTCCATAACAATTATTTTAATTGCCCCTGAAATAAAGACTACAATTTAAATGTAACTTATGATTCAAGTATGCATAATGCATGCACTAATGTCATTTTAACTTGACACGTTATTTGCAAAATGAAGCGTGTAATAGTATTAGGTTGACATACGCATTATATCAATTATCTATATATTCTATATTTACTATAGTATTTGTATATATTATATTGAGCATGTAATTTATATGTCGTGAATGAGAATGAGACTTTATATGCAATTAATTAAAGATAAAATTAGAAAATGTCAAAATCAGAAGGGCAAAAAAGAAATTTAAAAGTTTTAACACTTGAATCCTCTTCTATATTCTATATATATAGAAGTATAGAGTGATAAGTACTCACAACTGGACGGAATTATGTTTTTATCTAGTTTTTCGAGTCTGAATAGCATCCAAATAATAAGGTGCTTACCTTTTTCATATTATAACAATAAATAATTACATTATATTCTAACAAGATTTGCCTTCTCCTTAACAAGGAACAAAGGATCGATTAGCATTAAAACTCTTGACAAAACTACTCTCAATGTCTCCTTAGTAATCACTGCAAAATGTCTAGAAAATTTACTAGCTAAAGCAAATAGGTACACGATATACATGAAGCAGTAGAGTAAGTACTAGAAGATAAAATGAGAAGACGAAATAGAGTAGTCTAGATTTCTGATTCAGGTGTCACTTGTTCATCGTAAGGTATGCTGAATATCACAAAAAAAGGTGAGCATATGGTACTTTCATTCCTTATATTTTTCTAAAAAGAATCCACAGTAGTGCTTTTCATTTCCCAGATAAATAGGCAAATAATCCTCTCCTTTGATTTTTGTCTACAAAATCTCCAAAGTGCACACACTTTGCCTCACAAAGGAGAGGGCAAGATTCAAAGTGAAGCCCAGTTATGTCTCCACTCAAAGGTGGTCGTTATCATCTCTCTTGCACTCTCAACCTCAACTGAAAAAAGAGAAAGAGAAGGATATATAATACTTAATTTGTTTCATTAAAAAAAGTTTAGTACAAAAGTTAGCTAATAAAAGATTCACGCTACACGTGCTCCTATTGGTTCCATTCGATTGCTTAGAATTAGGTGATGATGAAGGGCAATAATGGTTGTTTAGCTTAATTTAGAGATTGGCGGAAATCACCCTTTTGGGCTGCACGTATTGTTTGTTGACCTGCAGTATTGAGTGCATTGTTCTCTCATGTCTCTTTTTGTGGTTGTGATGAAGACTAGGATCCACAAAGATACCGTAGGATCGTTCAACTTCGGTTGAGTAATGATATAACACAATTTGTTAAAGGGTTTAGAGTAGAGATTCTATCATAACAGAAGAAATGACGAGCACACAAAGACCGCAGGAAATGACGGAAGAACAAGTTTGGGTGCTGTGCGGTCGACCGCGTGTGGCGCGGCGGTCGAACGCCAACGTGCACGAGGCTGAGTTCTGTTCTGTATCAGGTCACGGTCGACCTCGCGTGACGCGGCGGTCGACCGCAAAAAGTCCAGAGATTCTGAAAAGTTTCTGTCGTTTTCGCGGTCGACTGCGCGTGGTTCTCCGGTCGACCGCGAGTTGGGTCTGCAGTTGAGTTTGGTTTTCTAACCCGTTTTGTTCTGAGTTGATATATAATTTTAATCCTAATTAATTAGGGTTAAGCAATGACGTTTTGAGCAGTCTTTGAGAGGGGGATTGCTGCATCAAATTATGGAAGAGTTGTGAGAGATCTAGATGCTTTGTTTTAGGGTTTATTTGGTGAGATTTGTAACCCTATTTGTATTCTCTTGATTTCTAATAGTAAGAACTCCCCCCTCTTGCCCCGTGGATGTAGGTAACTTGTCGAACCACGTAAATTCGTTTGTCTTGCTATGATATTGTGTTTGGCTTGTGTGGTTGTGATTTATCTCTTTCTTGTTCGTGTGGTGTCAAGCTTCTGTCGTGCACAACAAGTGGTATCAGAGCTTCAGGTTAGACTTGAGGCTTGTTCGAAGGATTCCCTTAAGGATTCCTATTTGAAGAGTTAGATCGACAACATGGAAGAAGCAAGAACATCATGTTCGTCTCTTACGAAGGCGATACAGAGTCTGAGCATCAATAATACGAAGATTGATGTTTCGAAGTTCGACGACAAGATTAATTTTGGTTTATGGAGGTGTCAGATGATGGATGCATTGTATTCACAGAATTTGGAGGAGATTCTTGAGTTACTAGAGAAACCCGCTGACATGGAGGATAATGTTTAGAAGAAGATGAATAGTAAGGCTTGTGGAGTTATTCGGTCATGCTTGACGCTGAATCTTATTTATGACGTGATGAACGAGACGTCGACGAAGAGAATGTGGGAAAAACTCAATGAGAAGTATCTTACGAAGAGCATTGAGAATCAGCTTCACTTAAGAAGAGGTTTTACCAGTTCAAGATGAAGAGGGGAGTTTTCATTAGGGAGCATGTAAACAATTTCACAAGCTACTTTCAGATATGACCAATGTGGACATCATGGTTGAGGATGAAGACAAGACGATGCTACTTTTGTGTTCGTTGCCCGATGATGATTATGGTACGTTCGTTCTCACTATGATCAATGAAAGAACTACTGTTAGCTACAAGGAGGTGACCTCAGCGTTGGTGAATTATAAGCCGAGGAAGAGTGATGGTGAACCCTCCGAGAAGGTATCGAGAGATGCATTAGCAGTTTGAGGCCGTAATCCAAACCGCCGCTAATTCAACCGCTCAAAATCAAAGAATAGAGGTATTTATAAGAGTGTTGGTAGAAATCAATATCGGTATTGTAAAGAAGAAGGATATTGGAAGATTGACTGCCCAAAGTTAAAGGACAAAGCCGGGAATAATAAAGGGAAAGCTTGGGTCATAGGGACTCTTCATGTACACATGACCAATCATAAAGCTGTCAAATCTCTTGTACCACTGTCACGGCGATTGCTTCAATCCATAAAGAGACTTCTTCAGCATGCACACAAAATCTTCTTTTCCTGCAGCTTTGAATCCTAAGGGTTGTGTCATATAGATCTCCTCATCTAAATCTCCGTGTAAAAATGTTGTCTTCACATCTATCTGGATCAAATCCACATCCAGTTATGCCACCAATGCCAATAAAATCCGAATCAACGAATGCTTCACAACGGGTGGAAATACCTCGTTGTAATCAATGCCCTCAAGCTGTGTATATCCCTTAGAAACCAATCTGGCTTTGTACCTAATATCCTCAATAGAAGATCATTCTTTCTTCGCATATACCCGCTTGCAACCAATAGCTTTCTTCTCCTTAGGTAGCATTGCAAGTTCCTAAGTATCGTTCTTCTGAAAAGACTGCATCTCCTCATCTATAGCTTTCCTCCACCTGATCGAATTAGGGCTAGACTATGCCTCCCTGAATGTGGATGGAACCGTATCATCAACGACCTTCACTGATAATGCTTATGCGACTATGACATCATTATACCTAGCTGGCCGACGAATCACCCTTCTAGGTCTATTCGCTGTAA